TTATAGGGCACACTTCAGGAGGGAAGTTTAAATCAACGCAGCCTTGGTGGATCTTATAGAACGTACACGACTGGTTAAGCAGTCTGCGTCGTTCAAGTGTGTTCCATCCTAAATTGTTGATCATTGGGGAAACATGGCTGTATCTGGAAAAGTCATTGTTAACAAATCTTGCGGCGCGATGTTGAATCATTTCAATCTTCTCAGAAAAAACATATTAAAAAGGTAGCTAAATTTCAAGGTAGCTAAATTTCAATAATAATAATAATAATAATATTAATAATAATATAATAATATTAATAAAAACATTGTACAATATTCTGTATATTGTCATTATTGTGTCATACAAGCCTACTGGGAATAATAATAGTTATTTCATTTTTTCAAGGTAGCTAAATTTCTTCACAACACGTCCAACACCTATCAACTGTGCGTTTTCCGTGCATTACCCCCAAAGGCAAAAGATTGACCGAATATTTGCCATGCATGCATACTTTGTTAGCTACTTGCTTAGTGTTGCTGCCGATGCAGGAGAAAACGAAGTCTACTTGAATATTTTAGAGAATATGGAATAGTGTTTTGAATCGGCCTAAACTAATATATTTGGCGCAGAATAGTTTACAAAGCTGAACTTATACAAGTTATAAGTATGTTTCAAACGTTGTAACACGGGAAACGCAATGGCACTAGGCTTGCTTTGCATTAAGTTATTCTGGAATTTTCACAGGCTGTGGCATAGACGTATGCTGAAAAGTACAAGTGGATCTCTTCATAGCGATTCCCAATTTTCATAGCGATTCCCAGCAGTCTTTTGCGCTCATGTTCGACTTTTCCGCTTTGCTCGTGGACAACCTTAATTGAAATAACTGTATGCAATGATATCGTAAGTTGTTAGTATTAACTGTGCAAACCCGTGAATGGCAGTGTTATAGCAGTTAAGCAATTATTAAATGCAAATGCATGATCTTGTTGAAATATTTCACTCATATATAGAATATTGCGGATTTACAATAGGTATGAATTCCCTTGTGACCTGATTACTGATCGAGGTCTGCAAAACATCTACTAATAAACTGTATATATGTACATGAAGTCATCAAGTCACCCTTCTGTCACATCTGAGAAGAGCCTGGGGAACCCATCTTCTCTTCGAATCTTGTCGCGAGAAATATTTGCGTATATGAGTATAACTAGTCACTACGTATACGATCGATCGAGCTATTAGCTAGTTTGAATGTCCCGCACAAAAGACATGCATGTATCGACCACAGAGAAGAGATATACAGAGAGGAAAAGACACCTCGATAACCAGAATTTTTGTGTCACACGTTCCACGCCCCTCTCTCTTCCGCAGAGGCTTACATGAAGTTTCTAGTGAGGGAAGAGTGAGCGCGCAAGGAGTGATGGGAAGAGCTAAATGAAGGAAGCCTCTGCGAGTTAATGCAATCAATATGGCATCGTATATAATAGTTTGTAGCGAAGTTCGATCAACCATCGAGGGTGTTAAAACATGTTTTCGACTTTCATTTTCAGGCGTACTTGAGTATCCTGGGGTGAATTTAATATCAATATCTTCTTCCGTCCATTTGCATCGAAAAATATTGAGAAATTGCAAACGAATATCAATGAATACGAGCTATGTAATTATAAATATCCTCTTAATTGCAACATTTCTTTATAAAAATGAGTCTGTTGAACTTCGATACTCATATTATATCGATTCATTTCAATTTCTTTCACATTTCCGTCGATTTCAAGCTTAAAAAAGGTCAAACAGCTAGTTTGGTTCAAAAACCATACTTTGTCGCATTATCTGGCAGAGCCTCCCCAACTTCATTTCAATCTTCCCATCACACAGCGCGCGCTCACTTTTATTCAGGAACTTCATGTAAGTTATTTGTAAACACTTAAGGAGGCTCTGCGGAGGAGAGAGTTCCACGCGCCACGCAAAATCTTTCAGCCAGTGCCGTCGCTGAAATTTCATAGCAAAAGATAGGGAAAATGCCGTTCGAAAGGTGACAATCGCTTTTTTTAAATAATGAGCTACCCATGGAAGTTTTGTTCAATAAAATATTGTAGAATAACGGTAAGCGATCACTTTATTAATTTCTTTTTATTTAAAGTGTTAAAATAACATTTTATTTGGCAAAAGTTTGTTTTTTCCCCTATCTACTCCTTATTAAAATCGTGAAAAGCACTTGCTGGGGTTTTTAGATGCCCATGTATAAAAAACAAAGCAGCGATGATATAAATTCCTCAAAATATAACTTTCGCATAAAAAGAACATGAATACTTCCATAATACGTCTAGTTTTTTCCTCTGCATTGTCAAAATTTAATAAAATAGTGAATTAATATAATTTTCTATAGTTAATACACTGAATATATCGGCGTGACACAATTTGCCGCGAGTTTCCTATCTGTATATCTCTTCTCTGTGGTATCGACGTTCAATTTATTCAAGATTTAGTCCAGTTCAGTCACGACCAATAACAACCAAGTATTTTGTCTAAGCTTGCAAATTCAAAAGCGGCAACCAGTAGGAATCACCAATTTTGTTTATGTTATGCTTACGTCTTGATAATGATATTAATGTGGCTATAAGTCCGCTTTCGTCCTTAGATGCAGGTCAACTAAACAGTCGCAATTTAGATCGCCTAAAAGATAGTATAATAATTCGACATTTTCTGAATCAAGCCTACCAATAATAAGCGACTCGAAATAAGAAAATTTATTGTTAGTCAAATCAGGCAGGCTGTACCAAATCGAAACAGTAAATGGCTTAGAACTATAGGATTTCGAATTTCAATGCACAAATTCTCTAGTTAATGCCAGACAGATTCAGGCGAGGTGAGAAATTTATGCTATAGAGCGCAGATAGAAGCAAACGCCGCCGTACGTTTCCATCATTAGCTAGCCTGAAAACAGATCTACGTTTCGCCCGCCCTAAAATTTGCCGAGGGAAAGGACGAAACGTAGGTCTGATGAAAATGTTGTCAAAATCGCCTTCCGCCCACTTTGCATTTTGTAATAATTAACGATGATGATTGACACATTTATTGTAACATCTAAAAATACAATGAAAGTTGTCGATTTCATTTTATTGAAAATTTGTAAACAAAGTCGATATAAAGTACAGATGTTTGAATAAATATTTAAAATATTGGTAACCCCATGCACTCCGTTGCTTTTATATACTCGACTAAATCTTTGTAAGCAAACAGTTACAGCTATAGTAATAATACAATATTTTCAACACATTCTAATGCGATAAAATCTGCCTACGCAAATTTAATTGGCAATGGCCGTGTCCCATTGTTGAATTGCATCCCAACTCTTACAATTTGTGAATTTATACATAATTTTGAAATCGTCATATAGTGGTAAAATCAAAATAAAATATTGCGTACGTGCTATGTTATCAAAGTGTAAATCATGAACGCGCTATTGTATTGCGCTGACACACATATTGATATATTTGTATCATTGTATCAGTTTTATTTATATGATTAATCACAAAACTTAGCTCATTTAGAATTATTGTATTGTATATTACAACGGAAAGACACAACGCTGAAGTATTTGACGCGTACTGCACTACTTAGTCTGCGAACCCAGACGTAATTTCCTCGTTTCTCACTCGGTTATTTTCCGAGCGAGAAATGAGGAAATTACGTCTCGGTTCGCAGACTACACTCTACTCCCCTCTAGTTTTAATTTTTAGATGGTAGATACTCACTGATAGACTAGTTGTCGTTCGACCTCACAAAATATTTAGAATATTACTCTATATGCATAGTATATATTTATATGCGTTGATTTACAGTTGAAATATATTCTGATTTCAGATCTTTTCAAATTTTTTCATGTTAACGACCAACCAATCACAACCAATTTCACTGTGAATTAGCCAATCAGCTTTGTCGACCGCCTGGTGGTCGACTTACATGCACTTTTGACAACATTTTCATCAGACCTACGTTTCGCCTTTCCCTCGACACACGAATTTTAGGGCGGGCGAAACGTAGGTCTGTTTTCAGGCTAATCATTAGCATGCACTACACACAGACCTGTCACGCCGTACGATTTCATAGTCAGGAATGTGTATCTCATTATCGTGTATACTAGCCTCAAGCCAAGACTAATTTATAGCTAAAACATCAATTGGGTTAGTGGCAAGCGAAACCGGCGCAGTCCATCAATGTGGCGGATTAGACTTCTCACATTAAGTGCTGCCATATTAAACCCCCGCAAATTAGGATAGACAGGTTTAATACTAGTATCAGGATTCAGTTAATCAGAAATAGTATTTACAAATTAACCCTAATAAATTTCGTTACAAAACCGAAGTTCCTTCTTTGTTCAGGTGAAGTCCCTTATAGTTCAAGTGCTTTACATTGATGTTTGAATTATTTAAAAAGAGTATCTCATTGCGAATACAATACTCCTTAAGTATAATATTTGCTTGCAATGCTTTGAAAGCAAGATCATTATCATTTCTTACCAAAATAGCAGAAACACCAATTGTTGTGTTTGGCGAGTCCTCTTTTACATGTGTAACAAGATTAACAATTGAGTCAGCGATAACTCTCGGCGTACTGCACCTTAGATCATTCGGCCCCACATCTAGAACCATCTTCTCTGGCGACCTTCCTCGACAGAGGTTTAACGAAATCCTCCATGTCTGATATTGTGGCTCCTGGGAATGGTTTCACGATGAAATAATGCTTAGAATCGTTACCACCCATTTTTGCACCAACAATATTCTTAACAATAGAGTCACCCGCGATGACAACAGTTTTCTTGCGATGTCTCATCGAATCTGGTCTATCTGGACCAACGGTGGCCTCAGAGGCGTCAGAAGTGGCGGTCTCAGAGGTGGAACCCAACCAAAAAGCCAATAAGGCAAATAAAAAAAACTTGGTTAGCGTTACCGCCCGCCTCTCAATTTCTGCCGCCTCTGAATTTTTTTATGTAAATCTCTTCGTTTTAAGCGTAAGAATTCTAAATCAAATGTGCCATATTTAACTGCTGACCATTCTGCGGACGTGCTGTTGCTCCCTCTGAGGTCGCTGTTTCTGGTTGATCAGAAGATGGCGGGTTTGCTTGGATGGTTTCGTCGCCTAATTCAGATTCAGTTTCATTTTGGCAAAGCTTTTCTAAGTCAGAGTTAGAATCAGATTGTAGCAGCCTAAGAGAAGTAATAAGACTTCTTTTTTCATTTTCAATGTCCTTAATTTTTCTTCGTACACTCGGACACGATGTAAGATATATTCGTATTTCTTTTGCGGAGATCGGTGTCTCGGTCTTTAGGTTAACGATTTCTGCCTGAAGAGATGCAATACATTGATCGGGCGATATGAGTTGTTTGAGGTTCGCCATTTCTGATGTAAGCGCGTCAATTTTGGTAGAGGTTGAAATTACAAACTCTCCATAGTAGCTTTGAACTGGAAAAACAGTAAATTGACTGATTGACAGCTTGAATGAACGCTTTCCTCGTTTCGTCCCATGGGTGTGGTAAGATCGGTCGAAGATGTATGCAAATTGTGAGTAATTGCACGTTGAATCTACTTTTGACTTGCTATTTCCTTCTCATTTTCGGCGATTGATATAAGTTTATTCTTTACATCGGTAGCTCTTTCCCCCTTTAAAATTATCGATCCCTTTGTAGAGTACCATATATCGTAAGGCCAAATTCTCAATTTCACATAGTTTAGTTCCACCACCAGGCGAGGTCCATTTCGCTGTCGATATTTGATTTGATTCAACGAAGTCTTTTAGGCCTTCAAAAGTGCAGGATTCGAATCTACAATGTCACTAAGAAGCTCTGAAGTTAACCCTATTTGTACAGGGGGTTTTTCATGTTGATATGACCGGGGGTGCGCTGATAGGGCGCACCCCTCAGAAATTCTGTCGATTAACTGCTATTATCCTATAAGTTTTATTTTTAGTAAGTTTTATCTTTCTTTAACCTAAAAATAACAAAAAAGTTAAATTCACATCCAAAATGCTGTTTTTTGGCCACAATGAATATGACCGCCTATCCAAAAATGGCGAATATAGCTAATATTTTACCCATTTTGGTTCTATTTTGTAAAGAGATAACAAAACATTTTGGATGTGATATTTTTTGGGTCTTTTACATTCAAAAGACATACTTTTATGTTATAGCATATCTCAGATGTCCATAAACACCACTATTTTACTTTCCAAGTTGACATTTCTGTGCCATATGGAAAGACATACAACTGAAACTTACCAGTCTCTCATATAAACAATCCAAATCATTTTCAAGTTTCAACATCACTGATTTTACCTTCATATCTTTGTGACAGTGTCATTGTTGTATAAATAATGTTCCATTATTCTCATAGTATGCACAATTGTGCATTCTGTTGAAACTCTAGCACTTTTTTTGGCATAACTTCTGCAGTGTAAACATAAAATGTCGACCACCAAAATTTGTAGAAAAACTACGAAATGGCAGCCATGTTTTATACCAATATACTATGTGTTACATGAAGTGTAAGGCAGGTGAGCTACGAGATACGAGCCTGCAGTATAGTTTTGAAAACACAATATTTACTTTGAAAATATGGCAATCATTCTGGATTGTATGCAAAAGTTTTACCCTCATTTGGAACTGAATTTCTGGTACGAAAGTGTTCAATATATAATGCATCCTACAAGTTTGATTCTTGCTGAAAGGCAGGGAGATGTTATGCCTTGAAGGTACAAAGAAATATGTATGTGTATTTGAATATATAAAAATATTATAAATAAGTATTTTATATTATATAATTATAAGTATTGTATAGTATGCTATATTATATGTTATACTATATTTTACTATTTTATATAATATATTATGGATATTTTACTTTGCAAATCATGTGTAATAATCCATATTTATATGTTCTCTTATTATATTATGTTATTTATGACCTGGGAAGTGATTGAAGCCAAAAAATACTGTCCAACCCACATTTACCCATTTTTGGCCCCGACACCTTCTTTGACAAATGTCGACAAACGTCCGGATAACTTTGAATTTTCAGAAAATTTTTTTCGCAGTCATGACGGCAGAGGGAAAATATTAAAAGTCATGAAAGTACAGGCAAATCGGATCATTTGTTCAGGAATGACGGATAAATATTTATAGGGGTGCGCTCATTGTGCGCACCCCCGGTACAAATAGGGTTAAATATAAAGAATTTTCAACGGAGCTAAAATTTTCGACACACACCGCCATCAATTTGAATTTTCAAGCAAATCCTATCAAGTTTCATGCACGCTTGAGTTTTGCTTTTTGCGCGGTCACACTAGCAAGTGCGTTTGGGAGGTGACGTGTTGACAGATTCAAGTGGATTTAGTTCAAGAAAGCACGATTCTAACGCTAGTGTGACCGCAGCCTAAAACCTCACAAATGCAAAATAACGTCCCTACAGTATATATTTCGAAAAGTCATCATTGTATAGTTAAAAGTATTAAGAGACAATCTCCACTAAAACCGAGCAAAATCGAGAATACGTGGCACATGAGGAAAAATAAAAAATCTTCTTATTTTTTCCAGTGATACTCTAATGTGTACTCAGAAACGTGGTGGGGTTTGTTTTCTGAAATATTATTTTAAACGCCGAAAATTATCAAAACCTCACACATACCCGAGATTCGCGAAATTAGCAAAAAAAATGGTGAGCTACGGCCTCTCGAAAATTTCGTTTTTCTCAATTGGCGTGTGATAAAACCTCACCTTTCGTTTTTAAACGTGTTTATAAGATGTTTATAAAGAACGTGGGTCCAATTTGCAATTTTTGAAATGATTTTTCAATGTCAAGACAAGCGTGTAAAAATCGTCTTTTTTTGCGATCCAAAAAATTCTAAATTGTTACACTTTTTGAAAATTAATTTTCCGTATCCGGGAAAAATCCAATTTCCTTGAAATTTACGGAATTTAAAGAGAAACTGTTTCTCTAAAAGATGATGTAAAAATTATTTGGGGGCTTTTTTACCGCGGAATTATACTGACTATAATATCGAGAAAATCAAAAAAAAACTCTTAAAAATCCTCAGACAATTAGGCACTTTGCTTCAACTATAGACAGTCGAACCTTAATCATTCTTGCTTGTTTTCTCTTGTTATTGATAGGAAATATAAGACGTAGATCATTTTAAACTAGTTTGCCTATTTCTAGATAAAAATACGCTGTTAAACTCCCCAAGACTAAGATTTCTGCTTCAAATTCTTGTTTCAATTGATCGATCCATGCGCGCCAATTAAAATAAACTAGAAACACTTGTACACTCGCTAGATTCAAGGCTATATATACTTACTATAAACAGTCAATTACTTATATTTGAGCATGTTGTGCTCTAAGCAGTTCAGTTTAAGCGTCAAACTTCGGCCTTATTTTCATTGAAGCCGGGCAAGTTCAGTCGTTTAATTAAAGGGACAGGGCCGTTCCTAGCGTGATAATTGGGGGTGCATGTTCATATATTCGTCTTCTGCCCGACGGATTTCTTTTGAAAGCGATTGTTTTTTATGGTAACGAGCATGCATGAATATATGAATATACCCCCTCCCCCATTATCGCGTCTAGGAACGGCCCTGTTGAGGGATATGATCGGAAATAGCATGAATATAGAAATTAGATTCCCTTATCTGAAAGAACTTTTAAAATGACGTGGAAAACATTTTAAAGCTTTTTTTTAAATCTCGCTTATTTCTCGACCTTAAGAAAAGCTTCTGTTGTGATGGAGCTAAACTGTGGAACTGATTACCTAAATGCAATTGACGCTTATAACGAGGGTCGTACGTCGAGGTCGAGGGTCGAAAATAGTAAATTTTTATCCATTTCAAAAGTTTTACAACCATTTTGAAAGCTCCCAAAAGCGGCAAAACAATTAGTTTTGCTCTCAAAACTGAAAAATTTCGCCTACGGCTATAATCTATATGTATACTGAAAGTTTCGCTGAAGAACTATAAGTCTGATGCGAGGTTTGATGTTTGAAAGTATACGTATTTTAATATACATCGGAATTTAAAATATACCAACATGGGCGATGATCAGAGGCGATGATACAAAATTTGCGTTTCGCCAGTGCCGTAGCTAGCTCGATAATTGGGGGGGGGGGGGGCAGATATTCATATATTCGTGTTCACAGACCATAAAAACAATCGATTTCAAAAGAAATTAATAACGCAGAACACGAATATATGAATATCTGCCCCCCCCCCCAATTATCGAGCTAGCTACGGCACTGCGTTTCGCTCTCATGAGAAATTTGATTATAAGAGGCTGTTTATATGGTCCCGCTTACCCGGGATTCAATGAAGTGTAACGTATTTTGATCGAGCAATTGAAATACGTGTTTCAGCCCTAAACAAAAGTTAGATAACTTTAAATATTTTTTAAACGAAATTAGGAATGCGCCTGAAGTTATGTAGTGAAAGAAGACGATTAATAGCATTCAACAACATTTGTTTTTTTGTTTAAGACATGGAATTTCATACAATTTGTAACGAGCAATTTTGTTATATCAAGAAGTGCGACTAATTTACATTAGAGAGGTTAAGATACCCCGGTTTCGGTGTACGGGTACGAGTAGTGTCATCTTGTTTTACTAATGTCTGTAATTCGATCATACTTTTTCTGTTTTCTTGCAATAGACAATGATATAATGCGAAAAATGCGCACCTTAATTAGAGTAAATTAAGGTACAGACATCGACGAAAATATTGCTAACCAAAATCATGCTACCCGTACACGTACACCGAAACCGGGGTATCTTAACCTCTCTATTGCTCAAAATACGCACGTCACACTTCATTAAATCCCGGGACCCGGGGAAGCGGGACCATGGCCCCAACTTAATGGCATGGCGGCGACGTACAGAGTTCTGAAATTGCTCAGAACTTCAAGTTAACGATACTCCCTATAGGGTATGACATCGTGTTTACAAGTCTGATATGTTGGATAAGTTGCAGGAAAGTATGGGTAATATCTTCATTTTTTTTCAGTTTGTCATGGATCTATAAATTTAATCAATTGTCAGTATTTTAAGGGTATATTATTTAAATGATAAATAAAGGTCCGGATGATTTTGAAAAAAGAATGATTATTAGCAAATTGGTTTCTTAAAAGAGCAAGTCGCTTAGATGCAGTTATTGTGCATATAACAAAATAAATTCAGCGTATGTTCTATACATCTGCAGGTTTGATATTACTTTATAATTTCTGTCTATTCGGAAGTTTATTTATACAAACTGTCAAACACGTCACTAATTACATTGACATTGTCATTGTAGTCACATCGCGAGTTTAATAAAATCTAGCCTTAATCTCAATGATTTATGCGACTACTTCAGAGAAAACTAAGCATATAAAAATCATTGAAAAAAGTAGATAATACAGATTGATTTTACGAGCTATTGAGACTTTGAGTAGTGGATTTAACCAGGCTATCAATAACTGATCTTTTGTCTATTAATTATTATGTGTCAAGTCACGCGCACGGAGCTTTTGCAACATGATGTTCATATTGACTATTTATTTCTCTAAATTCCCGATAAACAAGCAAAATAATTTAAAATAATTTATAATTTATCTGTCAAAACCAAATAACGAGAGAAAACAAGTACAAATCCTCACGTTTCGACAGTCTATCTGAGCAGAACTGTGTCTAGACGTACTGCATGTCTATAATTGTCTGCCTACATAATCCGCTGTATATTATAGACATTATAATTTCGTGATAACAAAACACCCCATAATATTTTTTACACCAGATTTGAGAGCAATATTTGCTCATACATTTGTCTAAATTTGAAGGAAATCGGAGTTTTACCGGAAAAGGAAAATTGATTTTCAAAAAATGTACCAAACTTAAAATTTTTTAACTTAAGGTTTTTCTTGTGATTTTCCCGATATTATAGTCAGTATAATTCCGCGGTAACAAAAAGCCCCAAAATAATTTTTACATCAGCTTTTAGAGCAATAGTTTCTCTTTAAATTCCGTAAATTTCAAGGAAATTGGAGTTTTCCCGGATACGTAAAATTAATTTTCAAAAAGTGTAACAATTTAGAATTTTTTGGATCGCAAAATAAGGCGATTTTTACACGCTTGCCTTGACTTTGAAACATCATTTAAAAGATTGCAAAATAGACTATCGTTGTTTATAAACATCTTATATACACGTTTAAAAACCGAAAGTGAGGTTTCCTGAAGACGCGAACTGAGCAAAACGAAGTTTTCGAGAGGCCATGACTCACTATGTTTTTAGCTAATTTCACGAATCTTTGGTACATGTCAGGTTTTGATAATTTTTCGGCGTTTAAAATAATATTTCAGAAAAAAAACCCATCACGTTTCTAAATATACATTAGTGTATCACTGGACAAAATAAGAAAACATTTCATTTTTCATCATGTGCCACCAGTTGCTCGGTGATAGTGGAGATTCCCTCTTAATCTTTCAAATATTTTTGCCATATTGCACAAAAAATACAACAACGCAAGCGTTCGTTCAGTGTTCAATTGAAGTTCAGTGAGACTTTGGTTGCCAGAAAAAGAATGTTGATGTTTCTTACTGACCGACCGTCAACCAACTGACTGACTGTTTGGCGGCCGGCAGCAGACCTGGAAAAAGTGCGATCTCAGAGTCTATATCTTGAGGAACTTTTATCTTAGCAAGAAGATTGAGAAGAAGTTTCAATATTTTACACATACGGTATGGGAGAACCTTAAAGCTGGGTTACAGTCCATTCTGCGCATGTGCGGGCTTTGTTTACATCTTTTGTTTTGGTTTGGAGTATATGGCTATGCACTAAACAAATTATATTAAAATGAAGGAACCAGGAGTGAAGTTAATTTTTTTTTTAAATTGTCTTCTGAAAGACAAGTAATTAAATATTTTAACAGACCACCAATGGAAGATATGTCGCTGATTAATTCGACATTTTTCTTTCGTGTATTTCGTTAATGAAATATCCAGAACAAGACCAGAAGAGGCCGACTCAGCAAAGGTGCCGGGTGCGAGTTCGCAACCCATTGTACGTATCTGAATATAATGTTCGGCATTGTAAAATAAACTTTGGAAGTGCCAAAGTAAACATGAACCTTTCCTTGGGTTATTTGTTCGTCGAAACACATTGTCAGAGTCATTGTTGCTGTCATCGCAGATCGAAGCACTCGGAGAAATTAAAGTGCCACTAACCCCCTAAATTTTCTTTTCATAAAATCAATAACCGCTATTTATGGAGTACAAAAGTGAAAAAAAAATTTTAATCGGTTGAATTCTCGCTATTCTATGGCTTCTCAAAGTTTGAAAAATTGCCCTAAAATCGACGCCATTTTGTCCCACGAGCGAGCGCCGATGATCTGGGCTTGTGACGTCAATTGGTGAACCGGCTGTTGTGTCAACACAAGTGTTTACAGTACTAGGCGAGTTTGTTAGGCATGCGAACGGCGAGAAAATGCCGAAAAGATGCGTTGTTGCCGGTTGTAACAACATAGGAGATAAGGAAAAAGAAATATCGTTGCATGCAATTTCTTATTCGGGGGACGAACGGCCCGAAGCGAAAAAAATACGAAAGAAATGGAAGCCTCAAACGTGCAAAATTATGGACGCCGACGTCGTATTCAGTCATATGCTCTGAGCATTTCAAGCCCGAGGATTTTTTGCGACGGTTTTCCCATGTCGAAGGTGAAAGCTTCGTTGGCAACAGATGGCTCAAAAGGGACGAGATCGGAATTTGTGTATTCCCAACAATCATGCCATCAGCTGACGCACAGAAAGTTTCAGACAGATACAAGAGAATGGTATGCTAATTTTGTATTTTATACATAATTGTGCGTAACTTGAATTTGTTTGACTAAACTGATTTAATTAATAAACATATCATTATATAACATGCTAACACTTAAACTGATATACAGTAATTGGGTAAAGCATATAAGAAAGACAATTTCGTTTAGTCTGTGAGAGCTTTCTTTGTCATTATTCTGTCTTCAGACTTCAGCCTTGCAGATTTTTGTAATTTCCGTGTGCAATTTGATACAGTATTATACAGTGATATAATTCTCCATCTATGTCTCTTGCTATGCCTATGTTTTAGCGAAGTCAATATGCCCACTATGACCCATAGGTGTGTATTTTAAGGATGTCTGAGGAGGGTATCATATTTGACTGTCAAAATAATTATAGTGAAATATTGATCAATGCATACCATGTACCCATGTATATATATATATCCATGTTTGATTTGTACAGATTATGTCGAAGAAATATTTCAAACTTTTCTCAATGTTACCAAAGATGATCTTAAAAAGGCAGCCAAGGAACTCAAAGAGTACGGTGTCTTTGCAAAGTGTTGCCCACTGCCTATGGCCCATAGATAAGTTACCCAGTATGCTTGCTGTTAATATAAATCTTTTTGTTACTGTAGTTTCACTACTGTTATTGAACAGAGCCAAAAGAAGTCTAAAGCAGCACCAAAATGCAGGGCATGTGAACAACCAATGAAAGGACACAAATTTGTTACAGACTGTCCAAGGAATGAAAGGAGCACATCAGTGTATTATATGAATAAGGCATTTGAGGAGGGAGGGCATATTGGGAGGTGTTTTTTTTTTCAGAAGGGCATATTAGTATTCAGGATGTTGGGGATTTATAATAGAGATTGGGGCTATATTACAGCAGGAAGGGTCTTAACAGAGGGGAAATATTTGGAAGGGTGGTGCTTATTAGGGATGGAGCTTGCTAGGGAGGGTGGTGCTTATTAGGAGAGGACTCAATAGTGTGGGTACTTTATAAGGAGGGTAGTGCTTATTAGGGGGGGGGGCTAATAGAGAGGGTGTTTATTGGGAGGGTGGTGATTATTGTGGAAGGGGCTTAATAGGGGCAGGGTGGTGATATTTGTTAAATAAACTATATTATGCACTACTTGTATCAAGTTTGCTCTACTTTACTTGTTTTCTATCCCTGATGAACACTAGTCAAAACTGATTTATGTTGATACCAAATATGTTCCATATATGTTTCATTAGAGTATAATATTTAAATAGTACAGTAAAACCCTGCTTTACAAAAGAACCAGTTCAGATTAGAATTCCAAAACAGCTTCTTATTTTATCGAAGAAGCAAAAAATTAAACATCAATTAAAGAAAATAAGCTCTTTATAAAGTAATGGAAACATTGTTATTTTGTAAACATCTACGGTAGGTTCTTACTTCTTATACGATGGGTTTTACTGTATGTTAGCTTAGTCATTAATTTATTCAAATATTTTATCCTCCTCCATTTCAAATCTGGTAAATGATTCATCTTTTGTGAGAGGGAATGTCTTCCTTATTGCATGGTATGCACATGCAGCAGTGGGATTCTTGTTTTTCCAATTACACCTACACCATCCTTGTAAACTTTCTGTATGCCACACTATGTAAAAACCTAGAAGAAATTAACAACTTTATCATAAGTAATCGTATGTAGACAAATGCAAAAACTATTTCAATAAACTAGTATTTTATATTACAAAGAACAACCCAAACTATAATAGCTATATATAGAAACTATACATACATATAGTTCCTGATTTTGGTTACACCAACATTCATTTTTGAGATGTTGATGCTTATTGGAGACACTGGTCACGGAACAGTGTGTACCCCCATTAATATATCCCTGAAAGAGGATAAAGATCTATATGTTGAACAGTCTGTTTAGTCTTTACATTTTTACACAAATTTTGGAAACAATAGACCTTACCATTTATTCACTAGTGACCAAATGGCCTCGTTTCCAT